GAAGCTGTGGGATGTGCCCGCAGTGTGCAGCATCACAGAGCGGGGGCAGGTCTCACTGCAGCAGGGGGAGGAGGCCACTTGAGCAGAGTGTGCCCCGGTTAAACTGATGACCGAACCAGCAGTTAGAACTTCCTTTTTCATTCTTTCCATTTTCATTTAGCACCCTGACTTTCAGCCTCGTCACAGAAAACAGTAATGGTTTTTTTTTCAGTTTCTTTACAGCCTTCTGTTTTGTTCTACCTTTTCCTACCCTTTTGATTCTGACATCCCTTCTTTTCCTCTTACTTAATCTGTGAGTATGAGCAATTTAAGACTCAGTAAGTAGGTTCAGAGCCTGCTAAAGAAGAGGATGATCTTAGAGGCATTCAGGAGAGATTAAGTTCTTTTTTTAAAATGGCACACATCTTCAGCATTGATGAAAGTAAAACTGTACATATTCACTGTGAAAAGTATATTCTCTTTTTCGGCTACACAGAGGAGTAAGCAAATATATTGACCAGATGAGACATGCAAGCAAAATATATCTGAGATAAATTTTAGAAGAACTTTTGCATATAAGTTTATTGAGTACTCTTGATAAGTTAACATTTATTTCTATAGAGAAAGAAGTACTTGATGTTTTGTTTTGCATAGTGTGTTCCATCCAGCAATATTCTAAAATGTCCTTAATTCATGAATCTGTTTTGGTTTTTTAGAGTACATATGTGAGAGATGTTAAGGGAATTGGGGTGTAATTCTGTCTCCTTTTGGCAGCTATCTAGACACAGAAACCTCAGCTGTTTTTCTGTTCTTTAAAGACCTAGAAAGTAATTTCTGAGGTAAAATTGTGGAACCCTGGAGCAATACAGCGTGCTGCAGATATTCAGGAGGATAAAACGCTGTATGCGTCAGAGATCCAAACAGAACAGCATGAGGCCCTGTCCTGTCTGCTTCATAAGTTTGGCAGTAATCCTGGAATGTATGCCAGTAGAACAACAGAACCACACTGAAAGAGTCTAGAAAACCAAAAGCACTCACCTTGAAACAAACCCCTCTCTTACCCTCTTACCCACACACGAAAGCAGGTCTGAAATTCTGCCACTTAGAGGCACTAGCATAGAAGCAATGCACAATTTAAGGGAACAGATGTTAAACTGCATAACTTTGTGAGGTTGTATTGCATTGTCTCAACTTATTAGTGTGTAAAATAGAACATCAGGCAGTTGCACAGAGCAACTTTTGCACACATCATTTTGGCTGTGTATCTCCTGTCAGTTGACTGATGGACTGACTGTGCCCCTTTGTTTGATGTAATACTTCATAGTTGTTTCATGATTGTCACAGAGCATGCAAAGCTCCAGAATACTTGACAGCAGGCCATAGTGAAGGAACAGGATTTCCCAGATCACCATATGCTGCTTTCTTAATTACTGTACTGTCAAAAAGGAGAACTCCACTTAGTTTGTATTATCACCCTGTGCTGAATGGTTCCTGTACATTGCAATAACTATCCCAGTTCAGCTGCTCATTTCCCCCAGCTGAAGAAGAAAGTGAAGTAATCAAACTGTTTGTGCATGTTTATGCACATGTGAACTTGCACATGTATAAATATATATTTTAAACATACTTTGACTAAGTGGCAGAAAGTCTAGGGATATCGAACTTCAAAATATTTGATTTAAAAATCAGCGAATGGTGTTTTCTTCAGCTCTTCCCTTTGTGGACCTTCCACTTGGACTGTTTAGCTCTCATACCCCTTGGTGCCAAGGAGGCCTGATTAATGCCAGGAAGTTTGACCCATACTTGTGAACATCTGTGTAACCATGTAGCTGTTCTAGGAAGCCCCCCAGCCGTGCCTACTGCACCAAAAGTCTTCCTTAAAGCCCATGTTGGTTGCAATGCCTGCTGTCAAGATCTCTGTCATCCCCCTGTGATAACTTCTAGGGACCTGACAAGCATCTAACCAGGGACAAAGGTGAGGTAGCTCAGGAGCAGCTAGAGACAAATCTCAAGTGTTTGGGATCTCTAGAATTCATTTTCAAACTGATTAGCTTTATTCCATGTAACTAACAATGTCAGTCTAGTGGTACAACAAAATCAGTGTTTTTAGAAGACTTCTCTCATTCAAATGCCTTTGTTCTCCTGTTGGGTGAGAGAAACAAATCACAGCTGCTACAATCCAGTAGCTTAGCATTCTTTTAGATGGCAAAGTATTCTCTTTCTGCTGCTCTTCTCCTCTTGCCTACCAACACAAAGGAAGAGTAGAGGGCACATCACTAGACTGAGAGATAAAGATCATTGTTGACTTCCTCTGGGGAATCTGTGTCAGGCCCCTCTCTGGCCACCAGGCACCATGATCACCATTTCTCTCTGTCTTTTCAGCACCCTTCTAATGTTTTTGATCTAATTTCTTACGGTAGTCATGAGGTTTCCTCAGTGAATGTGAGGGTCTGGCTCACGTTTCTGAGCTGACCCTTCTCCAAAGTGTATCCTACAGAGCATCATCTTTTCTCATGATTTCTATTTATCAAATGGGTGAAGGGAAGGTGTATTTTGAGACATTGTGAGCGACATTTCAACAAACCAACCCCCTTTCATCTCTAGTCCAAGACATCTGGAAGTAGTAATTTTTCTTTTTAGAATAATAGAATTATTAAGGTTGGAAAAGACCTCCCAGATCATCAAGTCCAACCTTTAAAAAACCTTATTTCTTGGACTAAAGAATTTCTTAAAATGTACCACAGTTTTAAAGAGACAATTAATATTCTGACCCCAGTTTTTATTTTTTAAATTTCCCTGTTGCAGCCTTGAGGATTCTCCCTTGTTCCTCCTCCCAGTCCAGAAATCTCTGTATGAAGTGTATTACTTAATTTCAATTACAATGTTAATTACAGAAGACAAGTGGTTACTGAATCTTGCACCATAATTAATCAACCTGATATTTACTTACTACATTGTTCATACTGGATTAAGCTGTAGCTGGACAAGCAGGGCAAGGAAAGTGAGTGACAGGAGCATTATCACGGCACACTGCCTCCCATTGGGAAAGTTCATCTTCCTTCTGAAAGAGACGCCTTCAGGGATCATGTAATTTGAATTCCCTGTGAATTTAGTGTCATCTTAGCTTGACCAGCTCTGGAAGAACATATTAACCTCCTCTTGTGATTTTCAGAAAACCATTCTAATTTAGCAAGTAATTAAGGGTCACATGTAGGATAAAGAGCTAGATAAGCTTGGATTACGCACAGGAAGCTTTGTTTCCAAGGCAACCCTAGCAGAGGGGGTGTTAATGCTGAGGTCAGTCAGTTAATGAACTGGGAATGGTTACTGGCTGCAAAATGTATTAGAGCTGGGGAAATGAAACTAACAATTGCATTACCATTTAATGATTTGATGATAGAAAACAAATGCCTACAGAGCTAGTTATCACTGAAAATACTGGAGACAAAGGTTACGGGCGGTGGGACCGTTCTGCTAAGTGAGGTCATGAGAAGTCCAAAACAATGACGCCTGACAAACCAAAAATACTTTAGTCATCATTCACGGCTTTCACGGCTCCCCAGTGTGAAGCTGTCAATGTTTGCGTAAGCGGCCGGCGCTAACACACCACCCTTGTGCTGGGCGTTGGCTTCTGTCTGAGTTAGTCCTGCCCGAGGTCACTACCTGTGTAACAATGTCAGAATGAAATCGGCCCGCTGGATTTAGCACACTGAAAAGCAAGATATGAGGCTTCCAGGAGCTCAGGGTGTAACACACCCTCTCCTAGGGCTTTAGGCTCTGGGAGCTAATCTCATGGGAGATTTGACAGGGCAAACACACAAATACCATGGACATGCATGAAGTGTCCAAGCAGCTCATCTGCAGCAAACAGAGATGGATTTATTAAAACATGGTAATATTTAAAAAACGGAATCTTACATTATTATTTTTTTTTGTATGATGTAAGGAACATTTGGGAATGAGATTACTGTGCTGTAAGGCAGCAGAACAGAATATTATAGAGTACAAAGAGTAGGAAAGACCCATTAGATATCTCATGCTTTCTCAGTTCACTTGTACCTTAGCTATCCTTTGTGGTCTGTGAGAAGAAAGAATTGCACAGGCATTTTTCAAAGCTTTCTTTAAGACAAACAAGCATTCTCTGCTTTTTGTCACAGTCAGATGACATTGGTGTCACAGAATATTCTGTAGCAGTTGGTCATTCTTGCTTCAGGAATACAGGCACCTCTAACTTGGTGCTGTGCTTTTTGGAAGTAGGTGTCCCTTGTGGATATATAAATTAGGACCATTTTAGATGCCACCTTATGTCTGTTTTTCTTATGTGCAGCCTTGGCATAAAAGCAGGTGATTTTGTGTTAGACTACCTGCTTGCACTAAGGGACTTTAAATGGTCTGCTCTCTCAAAAATGCACTGCAGGACTTTGAATATGAAATCAGACTGTGCTGGAGGTGAGCTGACAGCTGTCTGGGACAGACTGAGACAGCAGCTGGACCAAAGGAGTCTGCAATGAGCGTTAGGTGTACTCTTGCTCACAGAAAAGTGTGACTAAAATGGAATGAGGAGAGATGTGGAACAACCTGTCAGGAAAGGCAGGCTTCCTCCATTGGCAGAGATCAGATTAAGGAAAGCACAACACAGCCAATCAAATGTGAAAATTAAGCCCGTCACAAAACTGAAAACCAAGCAACAAACAAAGACACCAACCTAAAACAACAAACTAAGCAAACAAACAAACCAACCCCCACAGCCCCAGGAAGGGAAATTACCTTCTGTGCCCACAGGTAGCCAGGGAAAAAAAGAAAAGGGATGGCCTTATGTAAGTGATGGCTTTAAACAGTGACAAGGAGAATTTATGCAACATATTAGTGATCTTTTGCTTTTGTTCCAAGTGCTGAGTACCTGGAAGAAAGTGCCTGGAGAAAGTGCCCCAAGGCCATAGCATCTCTCCACAAGA